AAGTTAAGAGAAAAAAATATTCCCAAGCAAGCATGCAGGAAAATACTTGAAATAGCAACCCACAAGTCCCTGAACTGTCGCAGATGAAGAAGTAGCTGCCCTGGCAGCTGCCCTGCATATTTCTCTCTCTTGTGCACTTTTCAGTGCTTAAATCATAGAATCACAGAATTACTTAGGCTGGAAAAATCCTTTAAGATCAATGAGCCCAGCTGTTAACCCAGCACTGCCAAGTCCAGCACCAAACCATGTCTCTAAGCACCACAGCTACACAGCTTTTAAATACCTCCAGGGATGGGGACTCTACCACTTCCCTGGGCAGTCAGGTCCAATGTTTAACAACCCTTTCTGTGAAAAAATTGTTCCTAATATTCCATCTGAAACTCACCTGATGCAGCTTGAGGCCATTTTCTCTCATCCTATCTCTTATTACTTTGGAGAAAAGACCAACAGTTATATGAATAAGAAGCAATTCAGATACACATCTTTTTAAAAGTAAACTGGCCATCGTTATTCATCTGCACATTAAGGGCATATATATATGTGAGCAATCAGCTTTTAAGCTATGCCTGCACAGGGCAAGAGAACATTTGTGTGTCCAGCTTCCTTGCAGCTGCTGCAGCTGGAATGACTTCTGACCCCTGAGCAATCCACAGAGCACTGTGCTGGAGCTCAGAGCATCACAATGTCTTCTACTAGAAACTGCCTGCATAAGAAGTCCTTTCAATATGAGCTGTCCTGGCTCTTCCACATAGTGTGAAGGTACTGTTTAAAAGAGTTGAATGCTTTCTACCTAAACTGAAATTTATGGTAAATAGTTTAAATTAAAGCCAACTCAGTCTTTCCAAAACTCCCACAACTGGCCATTGCCAGTATTAAATTTACATATGTGATCAGTTTAGAATTGGTCTGGCAGCCATGAACTTGTCAAAGCCTCTTTTCTAAGGTATCAAATAAACACAGTTTTCATTCCTCTGCTAAGCATCCAGTATTAGATTAAAATTTTTATGGTCAAAAGAAACCGTTTCACCATTGGTTTGACTTCTATATAACAGAAGGCATCAATCTTGCTAGATTTCATTACTCGGCTGTCTGGATAATAGTACTTTAACTAAAGCATGTCTCTTTTGTGACCCATGAACAATAAAATACTGCCTCCAAGTTACTGATAAAGATATTAAACATTGCAGAGCTGAAAAAAATCCCCTGAGATACCATAAACCCACAAATATTTTATTATTCCTCACAGAAATGCATATTTTAAATTATATTTTCTCCAGTAACACAGGAGGCCTCCTTTGCTTTTGCATTAGTCTAGTTCCTTAAAAGAAACGGCAAGAATTCAAATGTCTTTCAAAGGTAAAAATTAAGTCAACCAAAAATCTGTAAATGCTCATTAGACCAGGATCATTTTCAATAAGAGCATTACCTTTGACCCAATCTTCCTGATTTTTTCAATTCATCCCAGATACACCTAAGAAAAAGCTAGTATTTCCTCCACACCCAGTTCAGCATGGTACAGAGAACGCTTTTACCACTTCTTTTTTTTTAAAGAACTGACAAAGTATTATTTGGACATTCTGATTTAAGGATCTTGCCAAACTTTCAAAGCTTTTTCAACCTATTCATTTGCTGTTAATAAAAAGGGAAATAGGACTTCTTGCCAAGATAGATAGAACTTACTTTTAAGAAGTATCTACCATATTTATAGGGACAATCGCATACTTCCATATGTACTATCACTGAGGAAAAACATCAGGAAAAACAGAAAACCTAATTCTTACTATCCATAATTATTTTCATGAAGTTACTTTTCTTTAGTGTCTTTTTCTTTTTTACTGCCTATAGTTTTTGATCTTGGTTTCTACTACTAGGCTTTACTATTTGTTACATTTTATTAAACTGCCAGTAATTTTTAACCAACAAGGCTTGTCTCAACATTGTTTATTTTGTGAGAGTTTATTCATAACCTTTAATTAGAAAACAATCATCACTCAAATCTTGATGTTTGAATGTTTTAATCCTTAAATCCCTTTGATCCAGCTTGATCTTTTCCATCATCCTTAAACTATCCCTCTTCCAGTGCTGAACATGTGTTTCTGGTAGATGTCCACTAAATTGAAGCTGTGTGTACCTTGACAATTACTCATTCTTTTTCTACAGTCTCTTTCTTTAACTATTGCAAGGTGATTTAACATATACCTCTGCAATATTAGATGAACACTCAGGATCCAGAGATCATACCACATCAGGATTTCCAGCAACACTTTCATATCAGCACTCCGACTAATGCCTAAGTATGTTTTAAGTGTACTGAAATCCCACCTAAGATGCACCATCATCACACCTAAAATATACATGGCTACTGGTGAAGCATAACTTTTAGTGAGATTGCCACTGTAGAAAATAACTAGCAGCATTTTAAGTATTTTAAATGCTTTGAATAAAAATGTTCCTCAGTAATTCCTCGCCTTGTCAATACCTTAAGAAACAAGATTGTTATTTTTGGCAGCAGTCAACAATGCTTCTTTTGGACACTGAGTACATGGAACCATTTACTGGCTTGGTCACATGGAACTTTCTATGAGGCCAATTTTTTACCCATAAATAAGCAGTTTCCATTTCTCTTGCTTATTATCTAGGCAATTGTATAAAAATGCTCTACTTGCTCCTCTTTTCTTTCCTTGATTTTATGAGTAACAGGATAATACTGTAGCTAAAAATACCTCTGCTAAAACTAACAGTAACAAAGACTTTAATAACCATCTCAAACTGAGTGAGTTGCTCCTCAAAGTTAGTGTTATGAGTTCTGTACACAACAAAACAATATGGAAGGAGGACTTGTGAAGTTGGATTTTTTTGCAATCTGCTTTAGCGTAAGACTTAATCTTTCTGGAGAATTTGCAGGTTGTGCACCTCCGTATTATAGTTGCCAAAAGAACATTTTTACGGCTTCCTTTGAAGCAGGGAGGCCCCCACAGAACAGGAGAAGGAACTAATCTAAATGGAAAACAACTGCACATTTAAAACAAAATGTTCAGCATAATTATTATTTATATGCACACAAATTGTGAGAATTATTTCTGTTGTGTCTTACCATGGAAAATCCTGACTAGACTAAGAAAATACAGTCTAAAAATATACTTATTTTTTCAAGAAGTTTAGCTTTTAAGAAAATGAATTGCAATGCAATTCCATGCCAGTTTGGCCTAATATAATCAGCTTAGCCAGCAAAATGTAGATGGTTTTTGGTCATTTCAGTTCTCTATAGTGACTCATCAATGGGTTACATGAATAAGTGTTGAGGGAGCAGGGATATGCTGCTGGGTGAGAGGAAAGGTGCTGACAGAAGAAATTAGGAGAGATTGTGCCCCAGGATACCTGTCTTTGACTAAAGAAGCCTGGGAGCTATATCCAAGCTCCAATTAATGAATACCATCAGGCCGATGTCATGTAATCAAGTTAAAGGGTACAGCAATCTTATCTCAAAAACAGAATTCAGAGGTCTCATTCCCTATGGTCCTAATATAAGAAGCCACATCCCAAAGTGAAAAAAACCCAAAAGGCATCCTCCTGATCAAAAGATATTTCAGAGCATCAACACATTTTAGGTGACACAAATTTTATGCACATTGTTATACTTTGTCTGCCACTCCTTCATACACACTGAACTCAATGCTGAGTCACAAGAACAGTGAAATGAAAGTTGGGCTATTAGCATGGATAAGCTCCTTTTGCTGTCATGGTGTGTATATGTAGACATTTGATATCTTTCAAGCAAATAACATACTACAAAAAATTTTAAATTACAATGAAACACAAGCATAAAAGCAAAATGAAAAGCCTAATGAATTATCAGAAGTAGCCAATGCAATTAACTGCCTAGAAACATTCATTATTAGATTACAAAACTGTCCCAACTGCTCAAACCAAAAATAAAAATGTTTTGTAACTAATGAGACTTGTATGTGATTTGATATGGCTACTTGCTATAGCGCTCAGATACATCCCACAAGAAAGGCTGTCTGCTTTTAGGAGGAGGCTCTGGTGGGACAAAGAGAGAGGGGAGCAGACATTTCTTGTTCAGTAATACTTTCATCATGCATTGTCTATGGGTGAGGGTGAGGGTGTGTGTATAAAGCTGAAGATGCACACACCCAACCCAATAATCCAGAAGCCCCAGCTAAATTTACTGCTGCAGGAATGCTTTTTTATAGCTATAACACACATAAATCTCTGATACATTTATCACACTTGTATAATTTATAATACAACATCTTTACTTCTACAAAAATGTAAACACATTACAGGTGGATTTCTTTTTAATTTGACATCATTCAGAATTTTCAAGTATTCAAATATTCTTTCAGAAAAAAAAAAAGGAAGATCAAGGCCAAGTAATTAACCAGTAATCCCAAGAGTACTGGAAAGAAGAGAGCCAATTTTTAACAAGTTTAAATCTTGGAATTTCACACAAATTGGAAGCCAAATTAGAGGGTAAGGTTCACCTACCTGAAGCACTAGAACATCACTTGGGGAAAATTTATAGCACTACAGTGCTTTTTATAACAAACGGAACATAAAACTGAAGTACATAGACACACCTTGCCAGCACAGATAAGACTACAGCCTCAAGCTCCTCAAAATGAGGAGCAGTTATTCTGAATATGAATTCAGAATTCACGACAGAAATCACTGCAGAGAAATTCTGTGACTGAAGAGAAATAATGCTGCCTTAAATTATATTTTTAACTCTATCATCCTCCTCTTCTTGAGACCAAATTTCCTACATTGCATGTTAACATGTACTGTGTATGCAGCACATTTTTATAGACAGCAGTGTCCTTAATTACTTAAACCTTACAAAACAGCCTACTCTGCACATTAGGATGATTACACTGTATATTAGGATGAGACATTTTCCTTACGACATTTTAGTTTGCCCAGAATCAAAGCTAGTATTGTAACAGAAACCCCTCACTACACCTCAGAAAAGGGTTTACCTCATTATCTGTTCCCACATCCAACATCACTGGTAGACACTCATGAGGTTTTACTCCTCCACATGCCGTATAAAGTGCCAGTTTACCAACAGGAATGCCCATTCCATAACAGCCAAGGTCTCCAAGCCCAAGAATACGTTCACCGTCAGTGACCACAATAGCCTGGAGGAGGAAATGAAGGCACTGTAAAAATCACTTCCTTGCTTGTATGTACTAAGTACTCCATTATTTTCTTACCATCAATTTTATTTTATATGTAAAAACTATAACAGGTGCAAACAAATCAATAGTACAACAAAAGGAAAAAAATTGTTTTATTATATTTTACTGTGGTTTTGATACACTATTTTAGACTCTTGCTTCACTGTAAATGGGACTTTCATTTAAAACTTTTAAGAATACACAAGAGAGGTATTTAGTATTACATTACAAGAGAACTGGCATTGTTCCCTCTCACATTTTTCTGTCAACAGTATGAAAATAGAGTAGGAAGCAAAAGGAAGTTATCCACAAAAAAAGAAGAACCAGAAACTCCTGGGTTTTGTCATGTCTGTTTTCAGCAGAACCAGAGCCAGTCACTCCTACTGACCTTTGTCAGGGCTGTCTACAACCACCTGGCTCTTACCCTTCAAAGATATATGTCTTCTTCCCTTCAGTAAATAACACATTTCATCATACTTATACGTATCACACGTATATTGTATGTATATTTATACATATATACATTTAAGTGTATATGTATATACATATATATATACACACACACTTATACATATCAGGAAGCACATGCTCTCATTGACAGAAATAATTTAATAAACCCCTCTCTAATAAGAAAAGCTTTTCATAAAAACTAAAGGAGAGACGTGCCCAGAATGGCAAACAGCTGAAAACATAGTAATTCCCTCATCGTGCTCGGTAGCAAACCATTTTTAGCTGGAAATTTAGTATTTTTTTTAAGAGCGATCATGAAGCACCATAAGTGGAGAACTATTAAATCAAACCCCAGAATGGTTTGACTGACAAGAGATCATGGTGGGCCTCTACCCTTGGAGATATTCAAAACTCAAAGGCTGGACATAGCCCTGAGTAACCTGTCCCGGCTGAGCTTGTTAGAGCAGGAGGATGGCTCTGATGAGTGCCTTCCTGCCCCAACCATTCTTAGATTTCCTGAAATTCAGAAAAAGCATTCAGGGTTTGGTTTTTTTCCATACTATTCAATTGACCAATTAATCAGTAAAGGACGCCTATAGCTAAAAAAAGTAAGTGTTTAAATGCCTCAGACTTTGGCTGCAACAGCATTCTTTCTGTTGAAAAAATGAATTAAGAAATCACCAAAATCTAAACTGATAAAAAGCTCCTAAAAAATATCTTAACCAATTTATCCTGGGTACAAAACAGCATTAGCTCTGTTATGCAACTAAAACTATACTTACCTTGATGACACTTTCTGGCCAAGATTTAAGCATTGTAGCAATGTGACCCCGGTCATGGATAGAAATAAAAAGACCTCTGCAAATAAAAAAATACTTTTCATATAATCAGGTAATTAAATAATTATAAATCAGTGTAATATAAATAAAGTATAATCAATTAATACATTAGATTTATGCAAGTGTGTTCCCAACATACAAAAATTCAGTTTGATAATAAGAGCTTAATTTTGTATAAAGTAAATTAATCATCTGCATTTAGAAGTCAGAGAACAAAGAACTCAGTAAAGCTTTACTGAGCAGACAGAACATTTAAGAGTCCTTTCTGAAACCAACTCACTCAGCATTTGATCTGTTGATTAGTTGTCCCTGACCACAAAACGAGTTCCTCTTATGGCAGTGATCACTACTGCCCCAGCAGTCCTAACATTTACAAACAATAGGCCAAAGCTTTAAGCTATGAACAAAACCTGAAATAAGCCAGATATTATCATTACACAAAATAAATCAAAAGCATTCAGTAATGTGTTTAGAAAAGTCTCCTGAATTCATTAGAATGCCATTTTGAGTTACAAAAGTGGGAAATTTTCATCTCGATAGTGCGAGAACATCCTCAGTACTGAACAGAACCTTTATTCCAAAGAGTGCTTGAAAATTGACCTTTAGTTCCACCAGTATGGAAGAGTTTAAAACAAAATAACAGAAAAGTGTAATTCTCAACTCATTTTCTGTTTATTACCTAAGCAAAATCAATACAGTATCTTATTCTCCTGTTCAGTATTTCATTTTTCATTTATTTTACTTGGCAGGTAGATTTACATTCAGGTCCTCTCAGAATTCATTTAATTTCATTTCTTATCCACTTTTCTCATGTGAGATAGTGGAAAAATGCCATCTCTCAAAACCCATGAACTCACTTAAATACAATCTCTCAAAATCTACAAAGAAATGATGAAGCGCATGACGAAGATGCATTCTTGTGATTACATTTTGCATTAGTAAATATAAGGCATTGTCTTCTAGAATTACTCTAAAGCATTTTCCATTGTCTATTTTAAAAATTTTAAAGTAAAAATTAGAGAAAAATATTGAAAAAATAATTGGAATCTAAGTCTACCAGAATATGACCTCATAGTCATACAAGTGGATCTTATAGGTCTAAATAAAACTAATAAATGAGGAAAATGATTGTCAGATATGACTGCACCTATATCAAGTCAAGCAAAAAAATCTCCTGCAGTGTTAAATGTATACTAACCAAGACAGAAAAATTAGTCCCAACTTATATTTAATTTCATGTTTAAATACTTCAAGCATATTAGATAATACATTTCTATATGTTATCATGTGATTCATATTTTATAATGATTTTTTAATTTAATATTTCAGTGTCTCCCCTCTTTGATGTCAAAAATATGCAACTGAAATTCTTTATTATTAAGGACAAAAAGCAATGTAAGCCATGCTGTGGTTAACCAAAGTATTTAATTTTATTTATTTTCCACTAGAACTAGAAATTATCTCATCCTGGCATTTCTTATTCATTCTCCTTCTGTGTCCATTTCCCATGCTCAGAACTAACACACCAGGATGGATATTAATGTATCTCACTTGTTTCTTTATAAGTAGTATCTGTCAGCAAGTTAATTTCTCCCTCCCAGTGGAGCCAACAGGTCTTCAGGGACAGGAGGGTTAATTTTACACTTTTCAAAAGTTCTGGTATTTGCTGCTCACAAGTGTATGTATTTGTGAGCCAGCTACCTGAAAAAACATGTCCCTTAACAGTGAAATGCCATAAAACAGCAAAAGAAAAATAGCTTATGCTTCCTTTCTGATGCACTGTACCATGCATCATTTTATAAAACAGCCTGTAAACTGTAAAATCATCAAGTCCATCGTATCAAAATTGTCTCGTGACAGCTGTGACAGATGAGTGTGTGAAAGCAAGCAGAGTGCTGGAAGAAAGCGATCTTGTGGGATCACTCCTCTTCTTGTCTCCATTCTCCAATTTACACCAACCTAACAGATTTGTGTTAAATGAAGCAAGATTTTGCATTGATTTTCTAAAGAGTCAGAGCCCAGCCCAGCGTGCCTAAATGACCCCTTCCTTGCAAGCTAGGGAGAGAGGTCACCATGGAATAAATTCCCCAGCAGAGGAAAATAAAGGCAGGGTGGATGCTCCAGAAGGAATTTTGTTAGAACATTTGTAAGGACCTTTGAATAAGTATTGAGAGCGTATTTCAGAAATCTGTTCAAGCAGGATCAGATTCAAGCCACAATAGAAAATAGAAGCTGAAGTGCAAATAGTGATGTCAAAAGCATTCCATTCCTCTCTTTCTCCCTTTCCCTCCATTATTTCTATAGTTTAGTAAAACATTCCTGGACACACTGGCCAGACCAAGAAGATGCTCCTAAATTTAAGGAAACAGAATATGAGAGAAGATTTTTCTTCATCCTTAATTTCTTTAACACTTTTCTTCTAAAAGGTATTCTCTGCAAGTAGGTACATCAGGTTGGTAACACGATCCCTAACCTGCAAAGGTGTCAGCCACAAGAACACTCAGGCGATATTACTGGGTCTGAATTCACTGACAATTCTACTTGCAGACAGCCATCAAAAGGTCACACTACATATGGGTTTTTTTTCTTTTCCATGAGGTCATGCTATAGCCAGGGAAAGTATCAACTGCATAAGGTTATTAGAAGTGGGATAGGTCTGAGAAGCTGAAAAGGTGGCCAGCAATTCGGCTACCTAGCAGATGTTATAGTTATTTTGGGGCTGTCATAGCACAGCTACAAGAAGAATGAAGCATGGGGCAAGATAGATGATCTAAACTGGATTCAGTTCTACATGGATTTCAATCCAGAAATATGACTGAATTATCTGTATGAGTATAATATTAGTGATAAGAACAAGCAGGGTCATGCCAGTGATGCACACCCTGTTCTGCTGGACGAGGAAAACACGGCCTGCAGGATGTGCACCTGTCTGACAAAGCACTTCAGGATGGGGCTGCTAAAGCAGGTGGACAAGTAATACATATAATCACACGGAGAAAGAAGCAAGATACAGGGAAAACATTATGGGGAAGAATATGCTGCTTGTTTTTCAGCATGCATGTATTCACATTTCTAAGAAGAAAAGCACCTTATGGGGAAGCAGGATTAAGTTCTCTTGCACACACTTTCAGAGCAGTCCAGGTCTACAACACAATGTGGTCCTTTCTATTTTAAATGGTATCTTGGTTATACATACGATCTTTTCTTGCAAGGCAAGAAGGCCAATCACCAAAACTGTGAGTTAAAAAAGTTCTGAAGCTTGCAGCCTCAGATCAATCTTCTAATTAATGAACACGGTGCAGTGCAGATGATCTTGCCTAAGCACACATGATAGAACTTGCCTAAGCACATATGCAGAAGTGCTCACCTAGAACCAGTTTGCCCCAGTGAGCCCTCAGCTCAGCACTGGTTGATACCAGCCCAGCCAAAGCAAGCACTGCTAGTGACACCCACTTCAGCTAGCCAGAAAATGTATGAAACTGCAGCAGAGGAATAATTAGGCTAAGTAACTATGCCGCCTTTCTTCTCGTCACACCAGCAATAAGAGTAAAGAGGGGACAGCCCACATGAGGACATCAAGATCCACTCAACAAAGGATGGATCTATTTTGGGTCACTGAGCTCACTTCACTGTAGCAAATTTTACCAGTTATGTGGAGGTCATTCTACAGCACATGATTTGGGTCTGTTTTATTAAAATTCTAATCTATGAGAACAAAGACAACAGAATGAAATGGAGCATTTGTTTATTATGTTTTGAGGAAGAAATGATCTCCCAGCAATGTATTTGTCTATTTTCTATTAAAGAACAGTTTAGGAAAATGTGTCATTGTAACAGAATAATCCTTTCTTTCCTCTTCTTATAACAACAGGAGGCAATCTTAACATGTCTCAGAAAATGCCAAACATGTATGATGAAAAAAAGTTCAGACTTTTCTCACAACCCTACAAATTCAAGACTGTTATTTGAATTATGAACTGTATACAGAGTTACAGTAGAGGTGACTTCACTTCCCCAGGCAGCCTAAAACAACAAGCTTAATAATAATAATAACAAAAAAAATAAATCTCAGGGGAAAGACACAGTTTATTTCTAAGCCTAGACTCTTCCAAACTGCACTTGGCAAGAAAGAGGTAAACTACTTCCCTGGTCCCTGCTGAAATTCCCTCCTATTTTTAAAATCATAAACAGCAATATAATAAAAGCTTTGTACTAGGAACTAAGAGTACCTATATCCTCCCCAAAGAATGTTCTGTACTTTTTTCTCCACGTTTCCCATTGTGACTGTTTAATCTGGTCTCATTTCTTCATATAAAACGTGCTCGAAGTTTTCATTACACCTTACCATAGCAGGTAAGATTCCTTTGCATTGCAAGACCACTGAGGCTTAATAAATACAAGAGATGGGCTGATTTAAGAAACGCAGCTGTTGACAGCTTTGCTCATTTTCTTTACCCTTCTTTTTGTACAGGGATGAATTTCATTACTTTGCAATACACAGGTATGTTTTTCAATATATAAAAGAGCTGATGCTGAAATAGCAGCTGCTACTGACTGTCAGCCTGAATTCCTCAGTGTTAAAGAAACTTGGGCTTTACATTTTCTAGATGTGACTCACTCAAACAATATTTAAACAGAAAAGTTTGTAAGCAGCAAAACAAAGACTAAATCAAAAACAAAGATCAAAAATAGGACAGGAGCATTAAGTGAACAGTAGGTACTGCTAAAACCTCTGAACATGTGGAGCTGTACATGACCAAGATGTAGTTCATAATAAAGGTAAATTCTAGCAGCATCTGAATGACAACAAGGATAAGATACTATACCTGAAAAGACATCAACGTTTATAAATATATGTTATTTTATGCTTAGGATTTGGTTTTGTAAATTATTGATTATAAAATTTATTTTGTAGAAGACATCAAATACTCTGACAGACAGGCTAACATCTGCCAACTCCACTTTGCTACACATAAAAGAATAATGAATGCCTCATATTTTTATAGCAACTCTAAAGCC